AGGGAGGGCTAGGAATGGGGAAAAAATAAGAACCAAGATGCATCATGTAAAGGTACAAGTTCCCAATGAGAAATGTAATTGTGTTGTATACCTGCAATGTATCAATAAAAGAATTTAACAACAACAAAAAAAGTCTACTTAGCACTATGTAAACTATGATGCTTATGTGGTCCTTTCATCTATCATTCACATAGATCCTTTAAGAAACCTGGGCTCTTCATAGCATTCTGTACCTACACAAGAATTTCTACGCATAGTTTTTCTTTTAGAACTCTCTAGTCTTGGAAGCATACCTACTTATGCAATAAACTTTTTTTTGGTGATCAGGCTGGCCCTAAACTTGCAAGTTAGCCCCGGCTGGCCTAGAATTCCTGATCCTTCATCCTCAGCCTCCCAAGTGCTGGAACTATGCCCAACATATGATATAAACTTTTAAATTCCATAAACTTTTAAAACTGTTTTCCAAAAGACAAAGGATGTACACAGTCATGTCCCAGTTCTCCTTACTGTGATATCCAAAAGACAACCTGGTGACCTCCTCTAAAGCACTGCTCAACAAAGCTAACTCAACACAATTTATATTACTAAATATAGTAGTTGTTTCCCATTAGACCTAGACTCACAAGAGCAATGTATCTTATTGCTTCCTCTACCTTCTGAACTCTACAGCAGTACGGGAAGGTTCGTGAAAGTGGTGAGAAAGACATACAGAAGCTGAATGCCTGATTGACTCCTTGGCTCAGGGTGGAGGGTTCCTAAAAGAAAGAAAGCAAACTGTATTCTATTTGTTTGTGTATATTAGTCACCTTTCCATTACCAGGACAAAATACCTGACATATATAATTTAAAGGAAGAAAGGTTTGTTTTGGCGCATAGTTTCAGAGGTTTCAATCCATGCTGGCTCTACAGCAGAAATACCATGGCAGAAGAGTATAATAGAGGAAAGGCGCTCACCTCATACAGCCAGGAAGCAGAGAGCAAAAGCTGAGAAGGTGAGAGGACAGGATACATCCTTCAAAGGCACGTCCTACTGACCCACTTCCTCCAACTAGGCCCGTCTGCTAATAAACCATTCACCTAGGAACTCACCAATGGCTTAGCACCCTCACCAGCCAACCACCTTTCTAAGCATCTCTTACTCCAATCAAGTTGCCAATCAAGATTAACCATTACATTTGAAACCCAAGTCACGCTTACAAAGCTGTTCTAGATATGCAATATCTAGGCATTTCATAGTAAAATCTACAGCATAGAAGTTATTAAAAATACCTCATGGTTCTATCCCCGGTACCAAAAAAAAAAACAAAAACCAAAAATACCTCATGCGTCACTATACCTAAATGTCTGTCAGCTACCTGAAGGCCAAAGCCCAGTTTGTTTTTACTGATTTAGTCCTAGTATCTAGCACAAAGAATGAGTGAATCAGCTTAATTTTGTATCTCCAACTGTTCATTTGAGCCTTTCTATCCTTGAATACATAAAATTTAAGAAGTCAGTAAGTATTTAGTTATATCTAATAAAGCAGATATAGCTTCAATAGTTTATATACAACTATGTCTTAAACAATGAAACTAAGGGACCAGGGATTTAACTCAATGGCACCACACCTGCCTGGCAAACACAAGGTCCCAAGTTTGATCCCTAGTACGGGGAGTGGGCGTGGCAACAATGAAGCTGATTTTGATTGTCAAGGTGTTACAATCAATTCTTCATTAAAGTAGCAAGCTCTTACACGTCTTAAAAGTACTTTTTTTGGTTTCTTTTTTTTGGGGGGTGGGTACCGGGGATCGAACACAGGACCTTGCACTTCTGAGGCAGGCACTGGAACCACTGAGCTAAAACCCTGGCCCCTCATCTTAAAAGTACTTTTAAGGGCCGGGGATTTAGCTCGGTGGTTTCGCCGCCTGCTGTGCAAGTGCAGGGACCCGAGTTCGATCCCCAGTACCGCCCCCCCCCAAAAAAATTAAAAGTACTTTTAAATTATAGTTTATTAACATTCTAAAATGTATTCAACAAAATTTCTGGCCTGAAATATAAAATAAGGCTAAGCTAACCATTCAAAACTATTGTCTTCTGGCTCCACTCGGGATAGATAACAAGTCTACAGCCGGAGAAAAAGCCAACATGAGAAAGAACAGGAAAGAGAACACTGATACAAAGAGCATTATTTTAGAATTATTATTATTGTATACTCATAATATGCTGTATGTTTTAAGTCACTACTCATGACAAGCTTTGAGGCAGGTGTTATTATTATCCTCATTTCATAGATAAGCTTAAGAATAGTGAGGTTTACATCTTGGCCAAGGTTACACTGCTAGTAAGTGGCAGATCTGGCATGTGAACCCATCAATCTGACTTCAGAATCAGCACTGTAAACACTAAGCTCTGTGACTGAATGTCTTTCTCTGGATATAGGTATATGTGTGTGTCTTTTGATGAATTTCTCCTTGTGCATAAGGTTTTCAAGTAGAGCCTGCTCTTTTATAAGAGCCTGCTTTTCAGTGAAACAGTTATATCTACTCCTGAGTAGCAGGCATTTGAGAGTAAAACAGTGAGAATAAACCTAAACAGAACTTAAACACTCAGAAGGCCTGACATGGTGGGGCACATCTGTAACCCTATTTGGGAGGCTGAGTCAGAGGGATCACAAGTTCAAGGCCAGCCTGGTAACCCTATTTGGGAGGCTGAGGCAGAGGGATCACAAGTTCAAGGCCAGCCTGGGCAACTTAGCAAAATCCTGATTCAAAATAAAAAATGAAAAGGCTGGGGATGTAGCTCAGTGGTAGAGTACTCCTGGGTTTAATCCCCAACAACCCTCCCTCCCACATTCTCAAAGGGAAGATGAATATTGATGAAGACATTTCAAACATAGGGATGTTATAAAAAAAAAAAGTAGAAAGCACTGTGGAAATCTATAACCTTGATCCTAAGTTTGAAGCTGAAACCTGAAAGAGAAATAGGCACTAGATAGATATAAAGGGGGTAAGAAAACTGTGGTAGAGGGGACAAGAAATGCCCAGGTACTTATTTGAGGTGAGAAAGAAGAGTGGAGCAAGGAAGTGAAAAATATCTAGTATAGCTGGCTCTTACAAAGTGGGAAGAGTTCATACAGGCTGAAACAAAGGGTTCCAGGGACTAGCATTGAGCAGAACCTTGTAACAATACCGTAATTCAAAAAGAACATCAAGGACCTCCGGTCTGATAGCAAAGCCCTTCATAATTGCTCTAAGCTAACAACTATGGAGCTTTCTAGCTACCTCTCTACATTTATGTTCAAATGCCATTTATGATTTCTATTCTATATTCTATCTATAAGAGTATGTCTAAGCTTATATCTTTAGAAGATCTATATACAATCTAAGTATGTCACTCTCATTACAGGCAAGCAAGAACTTAATGAATTTTAAAATAATATATATATTTAATATAATATATATTTCATATAATTAAATTCTTGTCCAGCCCCAAATGTGAAAAGCATTAAATACTCTGGAATCTCTTGAGCCATTTCAATTTTAAAACCAGTCAGTTTTCATTACTCTCCAGACTTAAGTTTGAAGAAACATATGAAGCAACCAGACAACACTGCCATCTTCTGCATCATACTGCAGCCACTGCTCACCAGCCAGAAGTCCCCTGTGGACAGGAGCCACATTCTCTGTCTATATCACTGACTACGGCAACAGTGCATGGAAGTGGGAGCGTCTGCTCTCTGCAGGCTCCTGGAAGCAGCCACCAGAAAGGCACTGGTTAGATTTCATTCACTGCCCTTGCTCCCACATTGCTCAATTTTAAGATGAAGTCTACTTCTGCACACATTATATATCCTCCAAAAAGTTTTTTCCCCTTTCCTGCCTTTCCTTCATCTTCTCCCTGTCCCCCTATCTACTTTGCTTATAATTCTTTAATGTACTTACAATCAGAAGAACTGGGAGCATTGCTAGAGAAAGAACTTTTTGGTTTAGTCTACTTGAAAATAACCATTCTTAAAACCCCATTACTGTGTATAATTCCATATTAACGCAACACTGAAATTTCTTAATTTTCTGAAATTAGGTGACCCCGGGTCCCCGGCTCCATGTTGGGACGCCACCTGTAGCCAGCTCACCTGGTTCACCTTGCTCCGGGATCCAGGGCAAATGAGGAGGAATAACAAAGAGACAGAGTCAGCTCAAGGTGCGAGTGGCCAGGGGGCTCCTACCCCTAGGAGACAGAGGAGGCTGGAGCAGCCAACTGTTCACTTCGCTTTTATTCACCCAAACATGGGCACAAGCAATCAAGGTAACACAGGATTCATCTCGTTTACAATGTCCATTAGCACATTCTCTGGTAAACAGCTTAACCTCAGCTGTCTTACTTTTCCCTAATGTGCAGTCACCCTTGAGCTCAGCCTTTCTCCTTTGTGCTCACAGAGGAGGCCAATTAGGCCTTAATTCTCCTGGGGTCCTCAACAATTATGTATAAACAAATCCCATCATTATGCTGCATTTCTGTGGTCTTTATTTGCTTAAATAAAGCAAGTATTTCTGTACATGACACACTTACAAATAATAATTTCTCTGGAAAACTCTCAGACAAGCGGCCAGATGACAGGTAGAGAGACAGAGTTGGTGTCCCAGAGGAAAACACTGTTAAACTTATGCACATGTATTCTCATTCTGGAGGCGATTACACCAGGCCTGTAACTCCCTGCCTTTGTGCCCTCCATGCCCAACTGCTTCCCACAGTGGTCTCAGTTCTGTCTACTCTTCTGGTGCCTCACAGTGCTGTGTACACATAAACACTATCAGACCGAGACCTGCACGCCAACCACTCACCCACCCAGGGTCTACATGAGGCCGGTCCCGTGCTCACTATTCCTCCATGCTGGTGCCAGCTGTGGACAGGGAGCTCCACATCTGCCTCTCTCACTGGACCCAGAGCGTGTGTGTGTGTGTGTGTGTGTGTGTGTGTGTGTGTGTGTG